AACTGTCCTGGCGGACTGTTGGGATTCATTTTTTAAATTTTGGAAAAGATATTCGCATTGTATTTTTGTCCAATCAAAAGTGGTGGCTTCCGCCCATATAAATTTAAAGTTGAAGTTCGCAGGAGCTATACCCGAGAGAATATAAGAACCCTGGTCAGCGCACAGCGGACAACGGACAGAAGGGACGTGAAGGCAACAAAAAGAGGTCGGGTGGTTGCAAGGATGCAGCAGAAGGAGGTTAGGCGTCATATACGACGGAGGTCGTTGGTGAAGGGATGCAGGAAAAGGACTTGGACGTCAGATACGAAGCAGTAGCCAGCAGAGCAAAGGACAGAAAGGTTTCGGCATTTTTTAAAACTACGCCGACGAAAAAGAACAACGAAGAGAACCTTCACAGAGACTCTCTTGGGATGAGCAAATGCTAAATAAACACGCGAAATCCAAACGCAAAGAAAACCGAACGACATTTCAAAATATCGTTAAACATCCCAGAGACTCTCATGGGATAAGCAAAGTATATTTTTTCAATTATCTATTAGGTGGGTGAACCTTTTTCTAAGAGTAATTTATTCCCTTTTTTCAACTGTTTTCGTCTTACCTTCTGAAAGTTTTTTTCTTTCATGATTTGAAAAAATATATTGTAAATCTTTTTTAGAGCTAATAATTACTATAATTTTGTTATGTTATTTCGCCTTGCTCATAATAAGGCGCATGAAAGGAAATTTGTGTGCAAGACTTTATTATAAAACTTATATTTTCTTATATTCTTTCATATCAATAAAATAAATATTTTCAAATTTCGCGTATTGTAAACACCTTTTTAATATCCAAGATGAGAGAGGTGACATTCTCTCTTCCCCATTCCTTTCCTAATAAAAAAGTTTTTATATATTTTATAAAATACATATATTTTAAAACATACTCATCTAATTAATCTTCAGCTTTGAGAAAGACTATAGTGAGATCAGTATGTTTTAAAATAAGAGATTTAGAAATTAACTCGGAAGTACTTGTAATTAAATAAACTGTTTTTTTTTATATTTCAAAATGGCGGTTTTTGAGATTTAACATTAAAAATCTGATAAGACATTCGCGGTAACATTTAAAGAAAAGTAATTTTTTACATTAAAGGAAAAATGTCCGTCAATATTTCACCATTTTACATATTGTAACTTACCACATATTTTTCATTTATGTTCGCATTGAGTCGATCGTATATATTTACATTTGATCTCATATATTTAATTTTGCGCAGTCTAAGGTTCTGTACTCTGAAATAGCTGACCCGTTAAATAAAATTGAAATACCACGATGAATGTTATTTTTAAACGTAACTATACACATCAAGAATCAATTGTTTAATTCAACACACCACATACATATATATTTATGTATCTATGTGTGTGTATATATATATATATATATATGTGTGTGTGTGTGTGTGTGTGTAGAGGGTGCAAAGAAGTCCCTCAAACAAATAATAAAAAGAAAATGCACTACAAATAAAGTAAAATAAACTTTTCTTTATTTTTGTAAAGAATTATTTTTTTTCTTGTACAAAAATGAAATTGTCCGTAAAGCTGCGGAAGAAAAAGAGAAAGAAAGGAACTGGGAATGTGAGAGGGAAAGGTAGGACTATGTAGCGAGCGAGATGAGAGAAAGAGAGGGTGAAAGAATGTTCACTGATACGTGATACTGCCTGTTGTGTGAACTGCTGAATTCTCCGTGTGTGTGTGTGCTCGAAACTGTCCGTGTCGCTTTGATGTCAGCTTGTCGCTGTTTCTCTCTCCGTTCTGATGAGAGTTTCTACCTTCCTTATATAAGAATGATGAGGCTCTGGGAGATTAAGAAATTGGTTTCTTATGTCGAGCCCTGATTGGTCAATAAATCATATTTTTTGACCACATGGTGTGCTTTTCACTACGTCCGAACTTTTGGGTGCACCGTCCTTGTTTTTTTGACCCCACAGGGCATGGTAAGGGAGTGAATTCCCGCGCAATTGTATTTTTTGATACACGTGGTGTGAATTAATTTTTATTATTGTGTATGTGTGTGTGGAAAAATAAGAAACAGCACAATACTCCCCCAGATTGGAAAATATATGAAAGATACATATGTTTTTCAATATGTGATATATTCTTTAAAATGTTTCGGCCAGTGGACTTTTCTGCCAGTTTTCGTTGTAGGTGTGATGTCAGTATTTTGTTTTTTAGCTTCCTCATTTTCTGTGTGAATATGTGTTTGTGGAGGTATTGTATGAGGTTGTTCGTCGATGTACGCTGGTTTGATGCGATCAATAGCGATATTATCTTTCTTTTCTTTTCTCATAACAGTAAAATATTTTTCATGCCTGTCCAGAACTTGATATGGTCCTGAATAATTTGGACAGAGTGGTTTTTTAACTGCGTCATTTCTGATAAATATATATTTGCAGGTGTGAAGATCGTTTGGGATGTAAGTTTGTTTCTCTGTTTTCCTGGTTGGTGCAAAGTTGAGAAGAGACATTCTATGTTTTAATTCTGTTACAAACGTTGTTGTAGGTGAAATGTCTGTCTTGTGATTAAAATACTGTCCAGGTAATGTTAATGCTGATCCGAAAACTACCTCTGCAGGTGTGCTTTGCAAATCTTCTTTCACCGTGTTTCTTATCGCTAAAAGAATTAGCGGTAAATTGTCTGTCCAGTCCGCATTATTTAAATTCATAGCTAGAGAAGCTTTTAACTGTCTGTGGAATCTTTCAACCATCCCATTTGCACAAGGGTGATAGGCGGTTGTTTTGATGAAGTGTCTTTGACTGCTATGGCTGTAGGCCATCTGCTAAATCTGTCAACTATAGTAAGAATATGTGTATGTCCTTTTGAGGTGGGTAAAGGTCCTACTAAGTCGACATGAATGTTGGTGAATCTAGCATCAGGTATGCTAAAAGTGCCAAGTGGTGATTTCGTGTGTCTGTGGATTTTGTTCTTTTGGCAAGGTATACAAGTTTTAGTCCAATTGCGAATGTCCGTGTTCATATTGGGCCAAACAAAGCGTTCTGCTATTAATTTTACAGTGGCTCTTTTTCCTGGATGAGATAAATTGTGAAAATGTTGAAAAACTAGTCGTCTGATGTTCGGTGGTATATATGGACGCGGATGTGTTTGTGATACATCACAATAAAATTTTGTTGTACCAAATTGTATCGGCATTTCTTTCAGTTGTAAGGATGTTTTTTGTTGTACAACTGGAAGTGTTTCATCTGTTTTCTGCTCTTGTGCGATCAATTCCATACTTAAAGAACTGGAATTTAAAGAGGCTATTGTAGATCGAGATAATGCGTCTGCTATAATGTTCTCTTGCCCCTTAATATATCGGATGTCTGTGGAGAACTGGGCGATATAATCGAGATGTCTGATTTCTCGTGGACCATATTTATCTACATGTGTATGTAGTGCATATGTTAATAGTTTGTGATCTGTATAAATGCAAAAATTTCTTCCTTCCAGCAAATGTTTAATTGCAAGGTAAATTGCTAGAAGCTCCCTTGAAAAGGTGCTGTATTTCGTCTGTGCCTTGCTTAGCTTAGCAGAAAAAAATGATATAGGCGTCACTGTGTTGTTAGCAATTTGGTGTATGACTGCTCCTACAGCTATTTCAGATGCATCTGTTGTAAGCGTGAGTTTTGTGGCCTCACTGTCCGTTACGTAGTTTAGTTTTGTAAAGTTGGCCAAAGCAGTTTTAGCTTGTTTGAAGGCTTCTAGGCTAGGCCCTTCTAACTTTAACTGTTGGTTCTTTGTTTTGTTTTGTAACAAATCTGTTAACGGTGCAAGTAATGTAGAACAATTAGGTAAAAATCGTCTGTAATAGTTAATCACGCCTATGAATCTGCGTACTTGTCTGACTGATGTTGGTTGTGGGAAATTTGAAATTGCACTTACTTTTTCGGGTAGTGAAGATATTCCGTCCTTGTCAATTAAGTGTCCGAGGAAATTAACCTTTGGTTGGCTGAAAATGCATTTCTCTGTATTTATTTTCAGACCGTAATGTGATATTCTTTCAAATGTTTGCTCTAAGTGCTGTCTGTGCTCGTCGAGGTTTCTGCTGGCGATTAAAATGTCATCCACATATGCAAATATAAATGGCAGACCTCTAAAAACTTCGTCTATTAACCTCTGGAAGGTTTGACAGGCGTTCCTAAGCCCGAAAGGCATCCTTACGAACTCGTAAAGGCCAAATGGTTTGGTCAGTGCAGTTTTATGAATATCCTCTTCTGCCACTGGAACTTGGTAGTACGCCTTTACAAGATCCAATTTGGAAAATATGGTGGCACCTTGTAGACTGATGGCGAAATCGTGGATATGTGGAATAGAGTATCTATCCGGGACCGTTTTAGCATTTAATCTTCTAAAATCGCCACAAGGACGCCATGTTGTAGCGTCGGACTTTTGCACCATGTGTAGCGGTGAAGACCAAGCACTTTTCGAGGGTCGGATGATCCCTTGCTGTAATAAATGTTGAAACTCGTTTTTCGCAATCTTATACTTGTCCGGTTTCAATCGTCTGGGGGTGGCATAGACAGGTTGTCCAGTTGTCTTGATGTGGTGCTTGGCATTATGTTTTATGGTGTCTGTGTTTTTAAATGGCTGGGAGAGTTGTGGATTTTTTTTAGTAGCTGACGGATGTACTGGTCCTCGGTAAGGCAGAACTGATTCCAGTAGACTGGTATTTCGAGGTGAGTCCTCTTACTGAAATCTTGGTTTGATTATCCACCAGTGTGCGATTAGTCATGTCGACAGACAGGTTGAATCTGGCTAAAAAATCTGCCCCCAATATAGGCGTTGTTACACTGGCTATGGTAAAATCCCAGAAAAAATTCCGTCGCATGCCGAGATTGATATTGAGCGATTTCTCTCCGTAAGTTGGTATTTTGGTACCGTTAGCTGCTTGAAGATGATAAGACTGTGGCATAGTCTCCTGATTTTGTGTTGGTGGTATCACGCTTATTTCAGCTCCGGTGTCTATTAAAAGTTATATCCATTAATTTTGTCGCGGATATAAAACAGACGACCTTTTGTTAAAATCCAGCAACAGCCGTCGTCTCTACTGGCTGGAATTTCCGTTTCCCGCATTCGCGTTGTTGAAAGAACAAGGATGTATACAACGTCTCGCCTCAGGACCAAACCTTTTGTGGTAGTAACAAATTTCATCTTTTCGATTGCGGTTGTCAGTCCGGCCTCTGCTGAAACTTCGCTTTCTGTAGCCTGGACATTTATCGCGGCGGTACTGTCGGTCTTTTGCAGTAAGCCTTGTAATTGTATAGACAATCTTTCTACAGTAGACTTGAGGTCGTTAAATTCCCTGTCTCTTTGTTGGGCTGGTTGTGGTTGGATAGAGTTTACCCTGCGGCTTCGAAAACTTTCATGGATCCGATCTGCAATGTCCGCGAGTTTTTCTGTCTGCGTTTCCTCCGTCATGGGTGCGAGGATTTGTGTTGTTGTAGTGGGTAACTTGTCCAGCCATAAGCTCCGCATAATGTTCTCGGACATTTTGTTGTCACCCAGTAAGGTTCGCATGTGCCTCAATAACTGCGATGGGGTGCGGTCTCCTAATTCAACCTGAGTGAAAAGGTTGCGTAGCATGGCTTCGTTCGAGGCACCGGTCCGTTTTAAAATTGCTTCCTTGAGTCTATCGTACGGGTTGCCATCCGGGACATTTTCCAGTAAATCCATTACTTCCTCGACGATGTCTGCTGGCAGTTTTTCCACTAAGTAACAATACCGGGTTCTCTGGGAGGTGATTTGCTTCGCATCAAATAATGCCTGGATTTGAACGAACCAGGACTTAGTGTTAGTCGTGTTGAAAGCCGGGATATTCAACGATAGTGTGGCGAGAGGGGTTTCCGAAGATTGTGATTCCATTGTGTCCTTCCTCTTCGTTTTGTTTGTTTTTTTAAATGTAGTGTCTCACGTCGGTCACCAGTTTGCAGAGGGTGCAAAGAAGTCCCTCAAACAAATAATAAAAAGAAAATGCACTACAAATAAAGTAAAATAAACTTTTGTTTATTTTTTGTAAAGAATTATTTTTTTTCTTGTACAAAAATGAAATTGTCCGTAAAGCTGCGGAAGAAAAAGAGAAAGAAAGGAACTGGGAATGTGAGAGGGAAAGGTAGGACTATGTGTAGCGAGCGAGATGAGAGAAAGAGAGGGTGAAAGAATGTTCACTGATACGTTATACTGCCTGTTGTGTGAACTGCTGAATTCTCTGTGTGTGTGTGTGCTCGAAACTGTCCGTGTCGCTTTGATGTCAGCTTGTCGCTGTTCTCTCTCCGTTCTGATGAGAGTTTCTACCTTCCTTATATAAGAATGATGAGGCTCCGGGGAGATTAAGAAATTGGTTTCTTATGTCGAGCCCTGATTGGTCAATAAATCATATTTTTGACCACGTGGTGTGCTTTTCACTACGTCCGAACTTTTGGGTGCGCCGTCCTTGTTTTTGACCCCACAGGGTATGGTAAGGAGTGAATTCCCGCGCAATTGTATTTTTTGATACACGTGGTGTGAATTAATTTTTATTGTGTGTATGTGTGTGTGGAAAAATAAGAAACAGCACATGTGTGTGTGTGTGTACAACACCGATTTCCAGTAATTTTGGTTCTAGAACCGCGCCTGATTATCAGTTTTATTTAAGCAAAGGAATTAGCGTAATAATTCAGCAATGCACCTCTGACCCACTAATTATACATTATAAAACTTTATGTGCAAAAAGTACAATTCCATACCACTTATCCCTACCTAAAGGCGTAGAATTTAATAACTAATTTGATGTTCAGGCAGGCAGGCTTTTCTTGATATACCTTGATTTTGAGCCTACAATAAACAGAACAATAAAACTTGAGTCTTCTGTAAAAAGAAAGTATAAAGAAGAAAAACAAATTTTTTGGATAATTTTCCTCCATTCAGAGGAAAACAGACTTGAGGAAAACCTTAACAACATTTGCAGTTGAGCACAATATGATTCCGAAATGCTAAAAGATGACCGAATCTAAAATCTAACAATTTGTTCTGAAACTAAGTTCAAAGAAACGCAGACAAAGTCTTCGTCACATAATTCAAATTGCTACCTCATTTGGTTTTCCTCACCAGCAACATTCTTCGCTACTGATACATTTGACATCGACTGCTAACGAGTAAGAAACTCACAACTACGAGAGACCTTTCATTATATCCCTTTAACAAAGGACTTTTAATGTTATTAATTGTAACATTATTCTCTTTACCCGGCTTAATTTTTATTAGGTACTCAGAAGAACATTTTGAGCAAACCTTTTATACCCCTTTTCCCCCTTCTAATTTAAACTATTGCAAATAAACAAATTCTTTTCGTTTACTTTCACAATGAGTCCTTCTTTTTGTGCTTCTATGGTTTGGAAGAGATAACAAAAGAGAACATTTATTAAGCGCCACAAAAGTCAGGAAATTGTAGTGGGCCACGGCACATAGAAAAAGAATAACCCAAAAATTTTTTTTATTTTTCTATATGGGAAAATTCCCATAGTATCTCTTGTATGTGAATTAAATGATAGAATAAAATACATTATAGCATAAATAATAATTTATTAGTATAAATAAAACAATTACATTTATTAATATGAGTTTGGATCAAATAAAAATAAAAAAATAATCCGACAAAATGATAAGATAAAGAACAAATAGAAACATTTATCAAACAGGATTCAGTTTTAGTAAGGCTTCGTCAAAGAATGACATATGAAGAAAAAGAAGAACGTAATTCTTGTATTTTTAATTTTGTGTTTGCTTTTCATTTGTCAATCGGTTCACGTGAATTAAACTTGTTAAACAAATATTAGTGTAATTTGTGGCCTTGAGAATTCAAGGAGAGACAACGCCTCCATTTACAGTTCGAAGAAATTAACGGATTTCAAGCCCAACTGAAAAACCATAAATATTGTTTTTTGTGGGTAAGAGAATAATAATTCTAGTTTGTCTATGTGGGATTCAGACGATAATATATATTCGTAAGTGTGTGTGTGTGTGTGTGTGTGTGTGGTGGTAGTAGTAGTAGTAGTAGACATTATATTTGGTGGGTTTTTGCATGTTGATTTGGGAACGTTTTTACGTATACCACTTTAGATAAATATATGTTAGATTCGTTAAGAATGTATTCAATAAAGATTGGTGATGTAATATAATGTTTTTGACATGTGTTTATATAGTTGGTAATATTGTTTTTAGTAGTGCCTCGAAGTACTTTCGATGTAAAGAATTGTTTTTTTATAATTAGGGTGGCATTTGTAAAATTAAAGTTATGACCAGTTTTGTTCCTGTGTATTATAAATGTATTAATATAAAATACAGTACTGTACGTAGAAAGAATGTGGCACGAACTGTCGTAATTTAAAATTTTCCTGTTATTGTGCAACTATTTCGAAATGTATGGAAGAGGAGTGCTATCGTGATTATGGTCTTCTTCACAGATGACTTTTTCATCGCAGATTTCAAATGTTACATTGGAGGACATCAGGATCACTTAACGTTGAAGAATTTTAAGATTTTGTACTAATTCCTTGCGCGACATTATCCCTGACAAGTTTCTGAAACATATTGAAATTTCCCAGGATAATCTTTTATGAAGTAATTGAAAACTTCCTTAGCTCTTGATCTGTGATGAAGTTACGTTGCATTTGTCCTCGGATTGGTTTATCCGTCAACTGAATTAACTTAATTATTATCATCAACTTCAATAATACCATATTTCCAATTTTAAAGTCAGTATAGTGATACACAACAGACGTTTCTTCATCAGTATCTATTCACTCGATCGCACCTGTTTCGTTAAACAATTTGTAATAAACTTGCAGGAGTTTTCCTGGGAACGTTTCACACAATTTCAAGCAAAACGTGAACAATTTTCTTCTCTTTTGTTGCACGAAATCCGATGATGGCATTTTCATGATTTTCACCAAGAGCATTTTTAAACATCAATGCAGGCCAAAAATATGCCACCTCTCTTTAGCATCGACGCTTATACCTTCTCCCATACACCAGCATATCTTTCATGTTAAATACTTGATAAATATCTGAACAGGCTTACTAGAACTAACCACGTCTAACAATCGATTCATGAGCATCAAGCAATATTTAATTCATTTAAGTGCAGTATTCTTTGATCTTGGCTTTTGGATAAGGGAATTAACAGTTTGACGACAAGTACAATGTATAGATATTTTTCTTACACGGCAGTTTAGTTTTTGGACAATCTGAACAGGTTTTCCAGAATAAGAAAAAATTTGCATTCTTCCTGTGTGTTCTGGCTTCTGAAAAAAACAAAACTTTTCAAACCACTCTCTGGTGAATGCAGCGATTATCGCGTTAGCGCAATGTTACTGGATATATTTATTTTGCAAGCCCTCCTTCCTAATTATATGCTCTAGAAATTTCAACTGTTTCTTCCTGGTGTTAAGTATAAGTGTTTTTTTGTTTCCATTGTCTTTAGAACGTCGTCGTTGCTCACATGTTCGGTACATGGTATTCTCAGCATCCTTCTATAGAACCACATTTCTGTTGCTTCAAGTCTCTTCATCATCTGTGAGATTATCCAGCATTTACTGCTATATAGAATGATTGATATTACGTAACAGTTCAGTAATCTTTTCTTAGTTTATATAACAATTTTCTTTATGTTCTTAATACTTTGCTTAGCTTTTATGAAAGGAAGGTTATTTCGTTTCTAAATTTGTTTTTTTTTCACTGATGTACATTTACTACAACAACACAATAAACTGATCCCTTGATTTTAAAATGTGTATGTTTGGATGCATGTGTGTGCTGTTTTGCCACGGAATCATCTCCATTAATGTATGCGGGATATATAACTGATTGAATTGTTGTTTAATGTTTCTGCATTGGCGTTGATAGATCACGGAAGTGGGGTCTCGTTTGTTATTTTAATGTTTTTTCTTCAGGCAATTTACATGCTATTTATGAAATGACTCATAGCGCATTCAAAAGAAAGCAACCGAAAACTCAGTCTGACTATCAAAGATTTTATCCTAACTTTCTCATGAGGATGATTCTTTGAAAGTCGATGCAGGTCTATAGTCAATCATTTCCTTTAACGAACCGCATTTATAAAAAAAATAAATCAGCAGTTGCTACTAGAAAAGTATTAATAGTTGCTTTTTGAGAACCAAACACTACATTTCACTGTAGTTTAAAACCTCTCTTCTTAACTCCGAATGTTATTAAAGGAAACTTATCTGAAAATATGTGGAAGAAAAAACTATATCAGCTGCGTAATGTTCGAGGAATTATCGGTGTTAATGAGTATCAAGTTATTCAGTATTTTGACACTTTTTAAATTATGTCCGTTTTTAGCTTTTTTTTCCTATGCACCAGGACGTCGGGATCATGGTTCTCCCCAACTTCCTGTTCTTTGTAGCTCATAGTTTGGTCTTTTTGCTATACCCCTTAATTCCTGTTCTGCCAACCATATGCGCACCCTAGTTAGGTAGATTATGCGCTGCTTTCCCCTGTCCCTTATGCCTTTCAATATGTCCTGTAAACGTCTCCAAGCCATCTTTCGTCTTTATGTACCCTAGAAATTTCAGCTATTTCTCATTCTAAGTATAAGTGTTTTATTTTCCTTAAAACTTCGTTGTTATTCACATGTTCTCAGTATTCTTCTGTAGAACATATTTTTGTTGCATCAATTCTCTTCTTCATCTATGAGGAGAATGTCCAAAATTCCCTGTCAGTGCCGATATTACATAACAGTCTATTACTTATCTTTGTTTATAACGAAATTTCCCTGTATCTTAATCCTTACCTTAGTTTTTGTAATGCACCTTTTGATATTCCAAGGTGCCATTGATTTCGATATCATAATTTCCGTCCATCTG